TTACTATAATTTCCTAATTCCTCGTCACTATTTTAATATTTCACACTACATTTTTAAACTAGAGGTGTTAATTTCTTAGATGAAATCCATGGAGCTTCAGGAGCAAAGGATGCTCTCAGCAGTGATCCCCTTTCTCCACAACATGATGGCTCAGGCTGGCCTGGCCCAGGAGCCAAAGGAGCCAAAGGAGCACATCCTCCTCCACAGCCTGGAGTGCAGACCTGGCACAAAGCCCTTCCTCTCCCTTCTCTGTCCAGAAGGATGGCAAGTGGAAATGTCCACTCTATGCTGCATTCTGGATCTTTCCTCACAGAAAGGGAGAGGGACTGGAAAGGCCAGGCAGAGGAAAATGCATGTAGGTCAGTCCCTGCAATGGAGCACAAAGTAGAGCTCAACAGGGGCGACACATTTATAACTGTGCCCAGTAACTGGGATCACCAGCTGTCCAGCACATCAGTATAGGCACTGTCAGTAGATCTGAGTCTTGCTATCATTTCAGCATGAGGATTTTTCTGATTCTTTACTACCACCCAAAAGCTCTTTCATTCTTCCACAAAGGCTTACCTTTTCTCAGGAGGCAAGATAGGATATTGCTTTGTCATCAAACACTTTATCGATAAAATTAAAGTCTTACTACTTCCTGACATAGGTGAACTGAAGTTAAGAAAAAAAGTCAACTGTTTTGTCCTCCTTATTTCCTCATTTTTCTTCTTCTTGTGACTTTCTGACTTCCTGATCCAGTCTCTGTCATAGCAAGCCTACCCATTTGTTCGTCTGACTCTTCCTTGTGGATTTAGGGTGCTGATCAGGGTTCATGCAGCTCAGGGGTGGCAAGGGATACTTGGCAATTGTCACTGGGCCAGGGCTTCTTCCAAGCCACTTTGGCCACATCTTCAGCATTCATCTGCACTCAGAAGCAGCTGGGAGCACTGAAGCAATGAGGAGCAGCAGCCAGATGGATTCACCACTGGTGCTTTTTCTGCACTGCCTGTCTGCACAGAGGCTTTGATTCGGGCCCAGCACAAAGAACTTCACTTAGGCTAAAACTGAGCTCTTGACTGTGCAGGGCTGGCAGGTGAGTATACACACATTTTTGTGAGTATGACAAGGAGGGAGCTGAGTAATAGAGCAGCTGCACTTAGTCAAATGGAGGGGAAATTCTACTGCTGCCCCTTGGCAGAGTCACAGAATCACCAGGATTGGAAGAGACCTGTAAGATGTTAAGGCATTAAATACAAGAAAAGGAAAGACATGCAGAGTTACATTCTGCACTCTACCAATCTGATTTTATGGAACTCTTGATTCAGAATTTGTACCCTTGCCTTTAATAGGCTTTTATGGTCTTTTTTTTCTTCTATGACTTTGTATAATTGCTTTCTGACTGCATTTATGATACTGGCAGCATCTGACAGTGAATGCCACTGTTCTCCCATGCTGTGTAAAGAACCACACCCACTTCTTTTGCTTGTTTTAAACCTGCTAATTTCATTGGGCATCCTCTTGTTCTCAAGTACTGGGAAGCCAAGCATCCATTCATTGATTTTCTAGGCACTTTCCCAGGGTTTTCCTGTTTTTATACATATCTGCCATATCCCCTTTCAGTTGTCCCATTTCCAAGCTGAAAACTCAAAATCAATTTAAGCAGTTCCAAGCTTTAATTGCCCTTCTTTAGTTCCCTCATGCAATTTTTGAGAGGCAAGTACCAGAACAGCAGGCAGTATGCAAAAGAGAGGGTATTATGTGGTTTTGTATAGTGCTATAAAGGTGTTGTCTGTTTTGTGCTCCATTCATTTTTTAAAAAACTCCTAACTGCTGGTTTTTCTTACTGCCAATGAGCATGGGATTTATGCTTTCTTCTAGTACATGTTTGATTTTCTTTTTTTTCTTTCTCTTTTTTTTAATAATTCCTTTTTAAAACTTAATTACAGTTGAAATTGTTTATTTGGTGTTCCTTTTTTACCTACAGGAAAATAAATTTCAGTACCTTGTGATTAGTGTTTCAAGAATAACTTACTGAAACAGCCCTGGCCTTGCTCAGGCAAGATGAAAAAGAGATCACAGATTTTCAAAATTTAATAGCAACAACAGTTACGGTTTTTAAACATTTAGTCTCTATGTTATGCCTAGGTATGACATTTGCCAAGCTTTTATGAGAGTCTCCCATTATCTCTAATGCCCCAAGTCTTAAGTAAGGAATTTGAAGACACTCAAATCTGTTCTTGATAAAAGGTACAGTTTACATTGATTCTAATTTTTCTGTAATGGAGCATTTCTCCTTTATTGAAATGGCTGGATCTCTCACCTTATATATTTTTTCCATTAGAGGTTAACTATTTTTTTAATGACACGCTGATTGTATCAATATGCGTATAGTTTCTTATTTTTATTTGCATATTTTTGAATTAAAGGTATAGATCAATAGGTAGGTAGCAATAAATAATTTAAAACTCACTTGTAAATCAATGGTTACTGAATCATAAAGCACATAAAGTGTTATGTTGTAGGATAGAAGTTGGAAATTATACAGCATGTTCAGTTTGAAACTGAATGAGTTAAATCCTTTTTCACCCCTGATCTTACATGTGCTGTTTTTTCTTATCTTTTTATATATGTGATATTCATAGATTTTTTTTGTGTGTGTGAATTTTATCTCTGTCTCTCAGTAATGCATACAGTCAAAGTGAAAAAGTGTATAATATTTTAAAATAACGTGAGAGCTCATGTCCTTCAATTAAAACACCTCATCTGCTATTCAGGATATTAGCATTACTGCTAATTACTGCTGCAGTCAATTTTATATGACAATGACAAAAATAAGAACAAAGGAAAAAAAGCCAAGATATTGAACTTTAGTTTCACAGTTTGTGTCCCACTGGTATGATATCCCTGGGATATATCTTCTGATATTTATGGAATCAGTGGAAATCAGTGCATATTTGACAAGTTTTGTCAAGCTTAAAGCCTCTGAGGCACTGATTGAGACTGGTAAAATGGCTTAGGCCAGGGAGCTTTTTAAATTGAGGAATCTTTTTTCAAAATATGTGATATTTCAAACACACAATCTCACCAATAAAGGTGACATGATCTTAGAGCAATACAAAAGTAGATTTCCAACTGAGCACAGTTGGTCTTCAGATACTCTCAAAACAGCCTGTACTGTCAGAGCATTGAAATTTGACTGCAAACAGATCTGATCTTGACAGTTTTTGGAGGTACAGTTTTGTGAGTGGATCAGTGTAGATTTCCTTTTTCCCCCTTAGACCCCAGGTCCTGCTGCTCTGCTTTAACTCTGGCAGTCAGAGAAGTGCCACAGTCGCCCTACAGAGCCACATCTCAGCGCCCTGCTGGGCTCTTGGTGAAACCTGCTGCCATCTCACAAAATCCAAAGACAATCTGCCATGAGTCAAAGCTTCATTCAGACTTCCCTAAGTCCAGAGTGACTATAAGTGCCATTTAACACATTTTTACTGTGTGTTACAATTACAGAAACATCTGTTATTAATATTGTTTTGCTGAACTGCTGAGAAAAATTCATTGAGTATTCATTAGTTGCAAGGGTGTTCAGTATTGAGGTGGTCATGTGGCTGAACATTCTAAGTCCTTAAAAACACACAGAAATACAAATGCCAGTAATAATTTTTACTCGGCCTGCAAAATGTATTTTATGATGGTTTACTGTGCATGTATAACATATGCATTTATTTTTGTCATGTGTGGTTACAATAATATTGTCAGTGCTACTGCTATTTGATCATACAGAAGTGCTAAATAGTGGGATAAGAAATTTAAAAATGTTCATACGGTCTAAAAATATTGTCATCAGCTTGATATGCTTACAGAGGTGTGGTTTTTTGTTTTTTTTCGGCTGGGAATGAAGAGGGGGAAAGGTCGGGGGGGGTGGGGAAGTTTCTTAGACCTGGACAGTGTTTTTAGTTTCCCATGATAACTGCTGTAAATCTGCTTGTCAAACAACCTGTTCATTCCCTTCAATACAGTTTATAGATGAAAAAAGATAACTGCACAAATACCATGTTTTCATCTTTACATTTTATATTACTATTTATGTTTCTTTCTAGAAAGCACATGCTTTTTAAAATATTATTTAATTATGTTATTGATCTGTTTGTAACCATATATTTAATGAAAAGTTTGTGGTGTCAGCAAGACACTAATTTTGAGATCAGATATGCTAGAAATGCAAAGATATAGATATTGATAGATAAGAAAGGACCGTGGTCCATCTAATGTAATAATCCTTCTGACAGAAAGTAGATGACTCAGAGGAGGTTGCCAGAAATTTCAGGAGACACAAATAGAGGGTAATCTGTCAGCACCTTAAGTCTTCTCAGAATTCCTTAGTACTTTGAGATAATGTTAAGCCCTAAAGCATAAGGCTTCAACTTTCTTTGAAAATATATTAGCATTAACTGTTACAAATTTTGAAGTCATGAATAGCAAAAGTTTGACAAATATGAAAAACAAGATAGTGAAAGTGTTACTGAAAACTGCAAATCTCTGAATCATTGGATGATTATTTACTTTCTAAGCAGGTGAGATAGTTTGAGGGAGTGAAAAATGATGTAATAAATAATCAGTATTCTTATCATCATTTTGATCCTTAAGAAGCTCTTGTTTTGTGGAATAAATGTTGCAAAACTAATTTGTCCTAACTAATGATTTGAAATAAGAGAACAGTTGAATAAGAGAACAGTCAGGTATTTGGATGAGAGGAATGCAAACTTTAACTGTTATCGTTTCAAAAGTTGTTAATAAGATACATGTTTGTGAGGATGTGCTACCACCAAGAAAATTAATTACCGTTTCAGGAAAGGGAAAAATTCAACTTCGCAGAAAACATTTTGAACTGTTCTTTATTTTAGCCGATGAGCCAGATCCTACCTCACACATCCATTAATCCAAGACAAGAGAAGCAGCAGCAGCCTGTGTATTCCTGCAATCTTATGTGTTATGCCTTTTCTTTTCTTTTCTTTTCTTTCCAGACAACTATTACGGCACTCCGAAGCCTCCAGCAGAACCGGCGCCGCTGCTGTTAAATGTGACAGACCAGATCCTCCCAGGTGCCACCCCCGGGGCTGAGGGCAAGCGTAAGAGGAATAAGTCTGTGAGCAATATGGAGAAGACAGGCATTGAACCACCTGAGGAAGAAGAGGAAGAAAGACCTGTGGTCAATGGAAATGACGTGACAGTAACACCAGGTCTGTTCCTCCTTCTTACTTTGCAGTGAGTTTCTGTTATTCAGAGTCCCCAGTTACCTCCTTCTGCAGTGAGAATATGCATGCTCAGGTAAGGATGTTCTTGGAAGAGGGAAAGGCAGGAATCCTGAATATTAGGATTTCTCCAAAGCCTAAAAAAAATTACTTAACCTCTATTTTGTGGAGTCATCTCACTTACCTCAGCTGTTGTAAAGATTTCTGTCTTTGAACTAGTCTCTTTGAACCCTCTTTATAGACCAAAGAGAAAAATACCTTCTTTCTGAGCATGGATTGTGACCTGGTTTGGATTTCTAGGTTAGGAAATCATTCACAAATGCCTGTTTCTCTCTGCTGACTATAGAGGGAGTCTAGAGAGCTGCAATTTGTTCAAATAAATAGGCTCAGTGTTTTGGGTCTTGTTCTCAAATGGTGACACTCACAAGATCGTTCAGGGTTTTTTGAAATGAACTTCCGTAAATTGTCATGAAGATTTAACAATATAGTGGAAGATTAAAGTCACTACATTAACCAAGGTGTGGCAGTGCCATTAAAACTTAGCTGGCAATGCTATCTGGAGAACACTTTTCAGGAATGTTTCAGAGCCTGCATAAAGCTGATAAGAGTTTCAGATGTCAAGTCCTAAAAGACAATTGTTGTCCTTCTTGGATCACAGTGCTTCAGAAAAAAAGGGGTTCTTGGACTGGTCTCTCAAGTGAGAGCACTCCAGCCTGTTCTGAAGCAGGTAATCAACTTCTCCCTCAACGTCTCAGCAAGACAGTATTTTACAGAACTTAATAATTCTTATCCAGAAATAGAATTTAAGAAATTATTTTGTTGTTGTTCATGTAGAAAATTAAAGAATTCAGATCTTTATATCTCTAACAAATAATTCTGTAAATCATTTTTGGTAAACTTAGAAATTCAGAAACAGATTGTTGAAGTAGAGTCTAGTGACAATCACACATATGAGAAAATAAAATGAAATATTGCAAGTTCTGTAAATGTATAGGTTACTGTGAAACAAAAACTCCATTACGTAATCTTCTAAGCTCTGTAAAAGGATTTTCATATTGCAAAGTCTGTGTATACCTTTTGAATTCCTGCTTCCTTACAAAGTATACTGAATTTGATATTTTCCGGTCCAGGATGATTTTGCCACATACTTTTCTTCAGCTTTTGCCCAACATTATGTATAAGGGAAAATTCCTTTGCAGAATCCATGCCCATCTACCAGGGGTGTCAAGGAGCAGGGGGTGAGAGTGGGTCTGGTTCTTCCCCTTGGCTCTCCAAAGGGCTGCAGTATTGCTGCCTTGCCACTGCCACCACATGCTGCACAAGCCTTGCTCGTCCCTTCCACACAAGATTGCATCTGCTGGCATTGCTCTGGCACTTAGAGCCTTTCCTCCACAGCTGAGCAGGAAAGGATGGAGCCCAGAGATCCGAACATCAGCGCTGCCGCTGTTGCCAGGATACTTGCACAGTGAAAGAGGCAAAGGCAGGATTTGGTCTCTGATGTGTATTGGAGAAATCGTTAGAAAGATCATTCTTTGTAGTTATTCAAAATGTGCCACATGAGAGACCATTGCTGAGGAGCAATTTCCAGGACGATATGTTTCAGCTCCAAGTGGATGAAGAGACAATATTTACCTGCATTTTCCCTTGAATTCTACACCTATAATATGCTTCTCCCAGGCAAATTCTGTGTGAACAATGACTAGGCAGCACCCAAGGAGCAGGCAGTGGCATGTGCTGTGTAACTAAATGAAATACATGAGCATGGGTGTAAGACAGCTCCCCCCTTCCCCCTCCTTCCCCCCCAAAGTAAATCCTGTCGGTGTGGCCAGCAGAACAAGCAGTGCCTGTGTTGGCTCTCATGGTTTTATAAGCAGGGTTTTGTTGTTCAGTTACACTGATTGAGGACTTTGGGGATTGTAGCAAAGCAGCTCTGTACATACATGCTGCGTTGCCTTTGTTGGACAGTGTGGCTCCCACAGACTCTGTTACTGCAGTCATTCTCTCTGTGAGCTGACAGAGGCTTAGTCACCTCTAAAATGTCAGTGCATTTGTAGTTTCGTCTTTAAACAATCAGGAAAACCAGAATATTTTAATTATTTACTTTTAAACTCTAGGTGGAGAGAGTATTTTAGTTTTTATAGACAGTCAGCAAAGGTAGAACATTTATTATTGCCAATTCTTTTAGAAAGTGTGTTCTATTTTAAATATTTCAATTCCAGGAGGAGGCTTTTATTAATTATAAGACTCTTGGGACATCTGAAACATTGGTTCATTTTTTATAGATGCTCAGCAATTTAATGGCTTATTAACTGCATATCCGAGCCTGTCAACTCAAAAGACTGCTCTAACACATGAGACCACAAGGGTGAAATAGTAACAGATCCAAGAAGAGTCTGAAGAAACCCATCCTTATCAGACCATATAAGTGATATCTGTGGTTACAGAGATCTTTGTGCTTTTGGTCTGAATTTTTAGGCAACTTTTCAGAGTCTGTTGGCATAATCTGTGCAAGTGTTGAGCTTTGGCAATTTTTCATTAATACCTTCCATGTGCCTTGCTTCATGTCCATCAAATTTCCCTGAGACAATTGTGTATGGACAAAGTGACCATAATTGTCTGTCCGATATGTTTATTCTTTCTGATTTGTGTCACCTGTCCTCAGCCCAGAAGCCACCAGGAATCCTTCTCAGTGCTTTGGGATGGGGCTTTTGGCCCTTTTAGGATAGAGCACTTTCTGTCCTTCATCCTGGATCAAGTTCTCTCAAGACAAAATCATATGATTTGGGAGATGGGATTTACCTCATCCAGCTTTAGTAAATTATATGCCTAAATGCCTTACTTTTTGTTTGAGCTATTTGTCTCTGCCCTGTTGATATAAAATAAGAAGAAAAAAAAATTTTTAAGTGTAAGAGAGCATAGCTGTTTTAGGTACACATTTTAGGGGATCACCTCTACAATTTAAATTGATTACTTCAGCCTACGTATACAGAAGAGCCTAAATGGCTAAATTTAAATAAATAACCTTACTATTTTCCAAGAAACCTATGAGAGACATAATCTATAGATTAACTATTAAGATGGGCAAATCTAGACATAATAACGGGTTTCTTACTCTTAGTGCAATTGTCCACATTACTGAGTGAGAGATATTGCACCTGAGATTTTCCTGATGGACACTGTATTTAAATTGATGATTTCTGCAAAAGTGATGCTTTGTTCAAAGAGGTAAAAAGAGTCTTGATCAAATTGTAACCAGAAACTTGTCAGACATTCAGCAGTTCTTACTGCTGTCACTGTTTATGTCTGCAATGGTTTGACTTGGTCTCCTTCACAACCAGCATTAGTATTTGACACTGTGTTGGTCATGTCACATTTGCTTTCCACTGCTGACTGATGAAGTTTATCATCCAAACTCCAGAAGAATCACTTTAACATTGAAAACATGCTTTCAATGTTAAAGAGCATTATTCAATTCACAATGTATGTGCATTATTCTGACAGTACTTGAGCAATGATAAGTTGCACCCAGAGAATGAAGTACTGTCAGGCTCAAATTAATTGAGGCATAAGATATGACATAAAGTTTCAAAATTATCATTCCAGGCCTTAGGAATGAACAGAAGACCAGAGTCCCAATGTCATCAATCACCATGCAAGGTGCATTAGTCCCAGGCAATAGGTTGAGTTTATTGTTTTATTATTACACAGCAAAGACAGCCAGAGGCATGAAAACAACATACAAAGCTTCCAAGAGCCATGAGATTTAAAAACATACAAAAGATGGTACCCATTGATTTTTCTAGGTGTGTCCTTTAAACTCAATTCATTGGGCTCACCCAGTCTCCATGACTTCTGCTTTCCTTGCCCAGGTCAGCTCCTGGTTCTCACTGTACCAGGAGTCAGTGGGAGCAGTGCCTCCATATAAAAGTACCAAGCCTTGAATATGGCTCCAGCTCTATGGGAAAGGGAGAAACTCCCAAGGCTGCAAAGTTATATCTTTACAAGAAAATGCATGCACATATATTGGCAAACATGAGTTAAACTACTCTTGTTTCCAACCAAGTTGTTTTAAAAGGATGGGCTCTTTCCTGTACAGAATCCAAGAAATTAGCCATTTGATACAATAAAGGTATAAAGATATTAAATATTTTTATTCAGAACTGCTAAAACCACCCCATAAATTACTATTTAGTAATTTTTTTTCTTTGCCAATATTACTTGGGTCATATTAGTTGATTCTTTTGGATGAAGAGACTAAGTTTTTGAACTTCTCTGCATGAACAATCTGCAGCATTATTTCAAGAATTAGACTGTAATAGAAACAATTTTCACTTTTTTTTTTGTCATCATGATGGCTGGGATTTGTTAATGTAGTTATTGAAAGTCATGAATCTGACCTCTTCAGACCTGTTGAAAAGAAGATCTTGAGGAAGAATACATATTAGACATATCATGGTGAAATCCCAGGGCACAGCAGTGTCACTACATCTGTTCTCTATCAGATTAATTGGCTGATCAATGGTCAGTGTGTGATGCACCTGTGCCCCAAATGAATTCTACTGTGCTCATATCTGCCATGTGACCTTATGTCTTATCTTCAGTTTAATCTGCATGTCTTTCTTCCTGTGGTAGAAAAGTGGTCAAGGCTGCAGGCAGCCTCAGCAATACAACTCACAGATCTGTTACTAATGCCTGAAGCAGATGAGAACTTTTGCTTTGCAGAGATGACAACAAAACACCCCAAGAATTATTATTACAATTATTACATTGTCCTGTTCTCAGGGGAAGTGAGGACTGTATATCATTTCTGCTTTGCAGGAAGCTTTTACGTATTTGAAAAATCTAGACAGATAGATTCATGTTTCCAAACAGCATAAAATGATTGTAATTCCACGTAGCTCAAGCATGAGTTTAGATTTAGCAACATGAGCTGCATGTGGATGTAGAGCTGTAGATCATTGCCCTTTCCAAGGCTGAATCTGAGGTTTTTTTAATACTGTTCTGAAGGGTTGATGTGTCAGTATCAAACGTATTTTTTAAGATCATGCAAGTTGTATAAACCATTTATCCCCAAGAAGCAACACCTTTTACTATGTCATGTAAAGAAAAAATATTAGTTTGACATAGTTTCTTCCAGAAAACCTTGACAAATATTTATGACCTCTGAAGAGTTTACATGTAGGTGATTTGATTCCTACTTCCTATCCTAGGAATTAGAAAGATGTGCAGTTACAGTTTCATGGGTCTTGCTTCCTTTTTTTTCTTTGCAAAACGACAAAATGGCCTAATTGAGCAAATAATTTCAGAGGAAATTTAGGTACTCAGAAACTAAGCATGTAAAATTATCTAAAAACCCAAATCATAGATATTTTTCTGAAACAAGGGTTGTGTTTGTCCTTTCCAAGTTTCTTTTTCCCATGAATTCTGGAAGGTGTTGCTGTTACTTGCCATGAATCTGCTTATCTGCTCTCTGTACCCTAGGGTCCATTTCATCCAGCTCTGCCAATTGAGAACAGGTGGCTCATCTAAGTTTCACCTGACCTGTTCTCTGCCCATTCCTCTTTCTTTAGCCCTATTGCTGATATTAATTATGTTAGTAATTTAATCATAGGTGATTTCTTTTTACTAGTGGCTGAGGCAAAAAGAGCACTAATTGCCTTGGCATTTTTATGTGTAATAAACTATTAGCTTTCCTTCCTTCCCACATATTAGAATTAATCTGCTTTTGGGATGATGATGATGATGATGATGATGATGATTACACTTATAGAAAGTTTTCTTGTTAGCCATAATGTCCTGACTGTATCCCACTTTCTAGACTGATTGTTCTGTTTTGCTGTTAGATGTTATATGTTAGTTTTTTCTAATTTCATCTAGTTTTCACCTTTTGTACAGTTCTGTCTCAAACAGCAAGTCATTGCAAATTCATGGCTTAATTAGAATTATCTTTGATTTTACTTACTATTTTTCTTTTTCATTAGAATAATTTGTACTTGCATTCTGAGTATTGCTTATTCAATCTTTACTAGTTCTCCTAAACTTTTTATTTCTTACCATTGCTTGCCATAATATCACATCTATTGATTCTGTGGGTTAATTAAAATCTAGGCCTTTATAAACAGTTTTTGTTAATTTTTTATTGCTCTTCTCTCTTGCTCTTGTAAGCATCATTAATTAGAACATTTCACCCAAGCTGTCTTCCACCTTCCTACATGTTTCCCACAGGTATCTGCATAGTTCCTTGTTCTGGGTGCACTGTTAGATCATTTAAAAAATTGTCATCTTCTTGAACTTTACTGTAGCCTACAGTGTTGACATGTTGAAACATTTGGTATCGTCTGTGGGAAATTAAGCCTCCCACAGGTCATATCAGCAATGAAATCACAGCCACTTTCTTTATGGTTATTATATTGCTGTGACTTGATGGATGCCATTGATTCCTTTGATATATGGATACAGATAAAGCAATTAGTGCATATACTTTTTTTTTATGTGGAAGGGATCTGTAGTCTGTAGTAAAACAGCAGGGTAGTTGTTTCATATGTATATATATGTGTTTATGAGTATAGTTTGGAAAGTTAAGACTTGAGACAGTAGAGCTGCTGGATATGAAGCTGCCTTCTGCTCAGTCTGGAAGGACTCCTGGGACAGAATGAGCCAGAACTCTTTACTAGTTTCTTGTTTCAGATTGGTTTTATTGTTTTGTTTTCTTTTGCTGTGTTCCAAATAAAATGCATCATCAGAGGAACGTTTGTGTAAACCGGACAGAATTTTTCTCTTAATTTTAAGACTTGCAGTTCACAGACTTGCACCCAGTAAGTTCTTCACCATTAACTTGGATATCCAAAACCTGTAATTTTTCTTCTCTTGTAGAATCAAGTGAGCATGAAGAGAAGAGTACAGCTGTCTCAGGTGAGGCATCTACCACCCAGCCTTGTCCTGCAACAGGATATGGTCAGCCTGAAGAAGCAAAGGAGGATATGGATGTAACAAAACAGACTAAACCTGAAGAGAATGATGACTTGGGCCCACTGCCTGATAACTGGGAAATGGCTTATACAGAAAAGGGGGAGGTCTACTTTATTGAGTAAGTCTTACTTCTTCTTTTTTTAATTGCTGTATTTTATTTAATTGGGTGGGAACGTGGTTTGTATGGTGTAGTGGAGCATTGAACTCCTTCTCATTAAAACAGCAGGAATGTTCTGGCTGTCAGGGCTCCTGAGGGCTAGTGGAAATTCCTGCACTAGTGATTTAGATGGAAGCCTGCCGAGTTTTAAGATAGGTAACTGGTCTGCTTACTTTGATGGCAGGAATTAAAGCTTTTGTTTCTTCTGTTGAAAGCAAGGCCCTTCTGCTCTTCTGTTACATTCTGGGAAAGTAACACAGTCACTGGTTTTTCCTTCCTTATGTGGACAGAGGTGGAGAGCATGAAGCTTTTTGCCAGTTAAAGGAAAGCAAAATGAGTGGACTAAAAACTAGCTAATGAACAGTAGAGGGAGACCATGCTGTATATAGAAATAGTAAAATAAATGAGCAGACTATAAGGAGAATTAGTTATATGTAGAAACTTTTCCCTGTTGGTATACTATAGATACCTGTTACTAATTAGTAAACTCATTGACGTAAAGGATATGAAAGTTCTTTATGCTCTATGTGCTCTCATTAAGCTACTGGAGAGCTTTCAAAGGATGCCATGAGGATGGTGAAGGGTCTGGAGGGGAATCCTTATGAGGTGCAGCTGAGGTCACTTGGTTTGTTCAGCCTGAGGAAGAGGAGACTGCAGGGAGAGCCCATTGCAGTCTGCAGCTTCCTTGTAAGGGGCAGAGGAGGGGTAGACACTGATTTCACTCTTGTGACCAGGGACAGGACTCAAGGAAATAGCCTAAATCTAAATTAAGGACGTTTAGATTGGATATCAGGAAAAAGTTTTTCACCACAGGAGGTGGTTGGGCACTGGAAGAGGCTCCCCAGGAAAGTGGTCACAGCACCAGGACTGACAGAATTAAGAGGGTTTGGACAATGCTCTCAGGCACCTGGTGTGATTAGAGTGTCCTGCACAGGGCCAGGAGTTGGACTTGATGATATTGATGGATCCCTTCCAACTCAGCACATGCAAGGATTCTATGATTAATGTCCATCACCAGGAAAAAATACAGCAAGTTTCTGAGTTGGTGTAAGATTTTGTTCCTCAAATGAAAAAAGAGAATGCAAAAACCAACGTTTTCGTTAGTAGAACTCTACTACATAGGTAGAAGGAGCGTTTATGTTTGCTCTAAGGAACTGCCTCAGCTTGGAGCATTATGTGTTATTCTGATTATTACTAGATAAAAATAACATTTGGTGGTGTCAATTATGCTTTAAATCCTGTATTTAATTTTAAATGCTGTGACTATCACATGAAGTGTAAACAAATGTTAAGAATAAAGTTTGTGCATGTGACCTTTTAATGAATACTGGCATGACCAACTATAGCTTCTGGCATATACAAGGCTGAAAATAGCAGTAACTATTAAAACGTAAGTGTGTTTTCTGAAAAGAGCAAAAATATGCTTATTGTAGAAAAAGAATAATTATAATAACTTTGTTCAAGCAAGCAGAGAAGAGCTAGGATGACCTCAGGGCTAGTTGAAACCCTTGTTTCCTTTTTACCTTACTCCCATATTTAATTTTTCTGCATATATTGTATGCTGTGACAGAAAGCAGACTGAATTATATGGCACTTTTATTTCACTTGTAGCAAAAACCTGTGGTACATTTGGGGGCAGGGGAAGGGATGATGGGTAGATCACTAACACAGCAAACTGTAAGAGTAGTAAATGCTGCAGGAGGTAATTTAATAGAAAATGGATATATATTTTGTAACTAATACAGTGAATGCAAATAACCCTGACACTCTACAGAGCAACCATTGCACTCCTCAAATTCCTTTGATGTTACAGCTTACTTCCTTTCCTGGAAATGCTTTGGTTTACACTGCACTTCCGACAATGCTCATCATTCACTTCCACTAAATGAATGTTATGTAAAGCAAAGAAATCAATCAGAGGTGCAGACTGGATAGAAGGGCTGTTGTAAGGGCTTCTTGCTTTTGGGATTATATTCCTGAACAATGTATTTGCAAAAAAGTGCAATTACACATCTGTAAAAATACTAGATTATTTACTAGAATCGTAGCAAAAGGAGCAACGCTCTGATCATTTGAGTTTTCACATTGCACAGTCTTTGCAGGGTTAAGTAGGAATGTAATGCTGTGGGGATGCTGTTAAATTGCCTCTTTGTTTACAAGTCACTTTGGTTAATGGCATGAAGAGACTCCATTTGCTTTCACAAAAAAACGGAAAGATAAAAAGACAACAAAAACCTATTTGTCTAACAACATCTCCCTGAACAGTAGTAAAGATTGTACTAGATTATTAAATAATAGATGAAAAACAAACATTTTTAAAGTGTACATCACAATGAGTGGGGGAAAAAAAGTCACACTAGGCAGCATCTTTTATTGCTTTATTTGAGGCTCATGTGAATTGTGCCTTTAAATGCTAAAGCCTTCCAGCAGCAAACGATCTCAGGTTGTCACAGGTATACCCAAAGGTCTTAGATTTCATGACAGCATTTCCATTCATTCACCTCAAAATGACCTCTAAAATTCAGATGTGATCTCACTTATCAAAACTGCCATCAGAATAGTGTGGCAGATTTACAGTGAGAGAGGAAGTGACTTCATAAGGGGAAAGATAATTGTCTATAGACAGGATTATTTATTTGTTAATCATTAATGGTTCAGTTAGCATTTTGTAAAGCACAGTGGAAGGAATTTCCTCTGCCTCAATGACTACAAAGACAAAAAAAAAAATCATCTACGAGATTCACTGAATGATTCAGAGGACTGTTGTATTTTAGAGCACGTCTTGGTCTGTTTCTTCCTTTCGTTCCCTTTTTGACATAGGTGCATGACCTTGTGTTTACCTATTTTAACATTCACAGACAGAACAAGAGCATCTCTTCTTGCAGTATAATACTTACCAGTGTTTCTCAGGAAGAGCTACTTAAGCACATTTCTTGGGCTGTTTCCAGTCTCCCTTACATATGAATCTGAATTTTCAAATACAGGCACACACTACACAAATAGGACTCCATCTCTTACATTTGGTTTCACTGAGAGCATATGCTAATGAGAACATGCCATAATTAACAGACTCTATATAAATTGGAATGCTATGAAAGAAACCTTCAGTTTTGCTCCTTCTTTCCTGCTTTAAATATGGCTGATAAATGGGGCATATTTTGGCATGCTTAAATAAATCATAGTCCTCACTAATTTTTAGCTTTTCCCTCTCCCAGAGCTAAGGAGAGGCTGTGATTCCCCATAGCCTTCAAACTTGGCCTTGCCAACAACTCTCAAACCACATCCTAGAGACCCAAGTTTGTGTTGTCCTCACAAAGTCAGCAGATGCTGCTTGTGTTGGATCCCAAGCAATCAGTGTTTGCTGTGTTGGTCCAGTGCAATGCTGAAGAGAATAAAAAAGGACCAAGATTCGAGGTGCATGTGCTCTCATCTGCAGTCCACCTGAAATGTGGCCCTCACCCAACTATCCAGCTCCAACCCATATATTATTACATCATAGACTGTCCTGTACAGTTGGCTACACATTTTAATACTTTTTTATAAAAGGCAGAATTGTTTTTCTCTCTCTCTCCAGCCTTCTCTCCATGCCTAGGCAGCAGAACTCTGAAATGGCTGCAGGGACAGCAGGACATGAAACCTAAAGCTACTTGACTCTTTACTGTTCAAAAGCATATATGGCTTCCTTTGCTTGTACTACATTAATTGTTTTCTTGGTGGAGAAAAGTCTAGAATAAATGCAAACCGCTGTAGAACATCTTTAAAGGATCATCTTTTTTGACCTGTGCTGATGAATTTTAGGAGAATGTGGTTAAACATAAGGTTTAACAAACAACTTTCCAGTACATCTTGCAGATGTACTTTCAGTCTCTTTCTACTTCAACACTTATTTCTTAAAACAGCATAGTCAGCATTGGACCTGTTGCAGTATCTTTTCTAGTTGTTAAAGATTTTTTTTCTTTATGAAAGTACCATAAAAGACTGAAAAACAGCTATAAAATAGTCCTTTGCCAAGGACTCTTCCTTTTCACTGTAAAAAACATCCATTAAGTTTTTTTAATACAGCTTGTGCAATTTTCAGGTGATATTTGAGAGTACAGCTACAAGAATATTGCTATGGACTTCACTGGGATCAGTTTTTCTTCAGTAGTGTTTAAGGCAGGAAAGTTTTTTGATTACAGGAATAATATTTTTCCCAACATCTTGTTTACCTGAAGGATCATGATATATTTAGTTGTTCCTGATTGAGCCATCAGTTCACCATCAGAAGGCAGGATATTTTAGTTAAGCCTGGATACACCATTATTATATTTTGAAGCTATTAAAAGTACTGGGTAGAAGTATACCCTTCTACCTGCTCAGGGTTACTTTCATGTCCTGCAGTAACTAAAGGAATTTTTAAAAGTTATTTTGGCACTTCTGCAAGTATGTTACATCGTCAGAGTATCAGTCCGTAATACTGAAATGTTTTGGTTGACTGGATAGTTCTGCTACTTGGATTAAGTAGCAATTAGGATGAAGGATTTTTTTTTTCCACATACTCTTATAATATTCACTTCTGGTGGGAGTTTTCCTTGGGAAACAAGCCATCTTGTATCAATATGATACAATGTGTAGACAATTCTGATCAATCAGGGTCTTGTGAATACCATTATAATTGTCTGTACTTGGTTTTCTTTGTTGGATTGGATCCATCAGTTTTGGTCAGTATAACAAATCAGATTTCTAATGCACTTTGGCTTGCAACATGACATACAGCAAGACAGGCAGCTGAAAGAAACCAAGAAGGATCTTTTCTCCTGCAACCACTTTCTTGCCTCATGGCAAGCTAATTAGGAACATGAAGATGGTGGAACTGGAAAGAATTTGTGGAATGCTGAATTATTTTTTTTCTCTTGTCTATCGATGCTATAAAGATATTATCAGTCTGTTCTAGTAGTGTGCTGTCCCTTGCTCTCACTTGC